TCTTTCTGACAGAATGTATATGGCCTCCTCTGAGAAGGCTGCACCACAACAACATGGAAACCAAAATAACCACAGCTGCCCCTCCACGTCTCCCAATCCTGCTGTATACTATCATCTTTGCAGCCCTGACACAAAGCATTACATCAACTGCACTACCAGGACAGCCAGGAATGGAAAGCCGGGTGGCCTTTTTAAAGGAAGGTTTTAGGACTCTATACATGCATCTTTCATCAGATGTTTTGACATCTGGTCACTTTTGCATAGCTCCAATCATGCACAAGTGGCACTCAATCTGTGTGCAAAGGGCCATTTTACCTCAGTAATAGGATTTAGATAAATGATATCCATGCAAAATCTGTTCAAAAGATAAAATAAACAAAATAAATAGAATAGAATGTATATATTTGTATATACTGATATATAAACAAATAAAATTAAAAACCAAAAATTGGTAGCATTTATTTTATAAATGAAACCAATAAAAACATTAAAAAATTACTAAAAAACAAAAAAGTATTAAAATAAAATAATGTTTAGGTTAATATATTATTATATACTTGTCACCACAGCAGAGTAAGCCAGAGCTTTCAAAGAAAACATTTACATGAATCCAAGAACAGAGATGAATAAGATTTCATTTTACAACTATGATTTTATTTTGGCTGAACACCTTCAATAATGCTTATGGGTAGATGACTTAAATGAACAAGTTGGTCCTTTGAGCTTCTCGCACTGTAATCAAGAGATTGACATAAGCATTCTCAAGGCCTCACTTCAAAATTACCTCCCAGCTATTCTCCCTAACTGAAAGCACGTCAGTATGCTATGCTAAGCTTTCTCTTCAGTTTGAAGTGGCTGTATGACCCAGTGTCCAGGGTCTGTACGAGGGTCTGTGAAACTTCTGAAGTTCTGTTGAGCTAAAGGAGGGAGAGGAGATCGCCCACGTCTTTATCAGGCTTTATCAAGCTAACAACAAACAAAACGGCCAGGAATATGCAGCGGCTCAGAATCAGATAAAAGAGCCTTCTTGTATGCCAAGGGGATTTATGACTGATAAAGAAAAGAAGCTGGACATCACCTCCATGGGCTGCTTATACTGTGCCTGACATAATCATGTGTTTTGAAATAATCACATTTTTGTCATTTAGGACATGCCTTACTACCTAAAAGTTCTCAGGAGTAACCTGGGGTTAAGTGTCTTGCTCACGGGTAGACTGTTGACAGACCTCAATGCTCTACAGTTCATAAATCACCCCTTTTGTGGTTTAAACCAATAACCTTTGAGTTACCAGTACAGATGTCTGACGACTAAGCTAAAGTAGCACAACTCCAATTTACCACATCAAAAAGTCCAGAATTAGCCTTAGGAAAGAAAAGCCACAAATGAGAATTTCTATTGTATATCTCATAGAGAGCAATGAGATTAAAATGAAAGAGAAAAAGAGACTCCTGCTTCTCAGATGATTCTCATGAGGAAAAAGACCCATGTAATCTCACGTTCCAGAGCTCAAAAAAGGTCTAAACAACGTCATAAAAGGAAATCTATAAGAAAGAAAGAAAGAAAGAACTCCAAATGTTGAATGGTAGTACATTAGATTTTGAAGCCATTATTTTCAAGGAGGACTTTTAAACCCCACTGTATATGAAATAACTACACAAATCTGAGTGACAACAACTATCTTGTTTTCAGTATTTCTAAGAAACATCTTTCAGACTGAGGCAATACTTTAAATGAAAGGTAACCATTTCAAGGTCTATTCAGGGGCCTAGCACATTTACCATTATCCTAATACCCTACATTCTCATAACTCTCATAATTAATAATAAAGACCACTTTAGGCTTACGTTTGTATTTCAAGTACAGATGCCCCATAAAAACATGTATCTGGAAAATTCATCAGAAAAACAGGATGCTGTGTAATATGTGCTCCAGTAGCAGGATATGAACTCTCATCAGTGACAGGGAAGGAAAGGTGGTCACACAGACCTCTGGAAAAAGAGCACACAGGTTAGACATCCACAAATACTCCACTCCAGGAAGGATGTTCTTTCCAAAGTGCTGTCAGGCACACATCTATAAATGGCTTTAGATAATAAACTTCCCCCTTTAAAAGGGGGATTACCACTGGCTGACTCACAGTCTCAACCTATCCAGCCTTAAAACATTGCATTGCAGCTATTTTTGTTAAAAGATATTGATTTGCTATTCAAGACTCTACCAAATCCACTGAGATCAGAATATGCTTAGATAAATGAGGACATCCTGTATTCAAACCAACCTCATGTGGTGTCTTTAAACCTCAAAGATCATCAGTGGGTCATCAGATCAGTTTTATGGTCCAGTTCAAAATTAGACGGAAGATTCAAGTTTCTTCTGCTAACTTTGGGTCTACATTTAGCAAACTACGTGTTTGCTTTGAGAATTTAGAGTCTGTAGGTGGTCACTTCATAACCTGGAGTCTCACAGAGGTGATGTTTAAGAGTTGACTCAATCATCTGTTTAAATCTGGCACTTCTTAGTTGACACGGTCACCCTCTGGTACTCCATCTTCTGAATAAAGCTACAGCAGAAATATCCCTTTCTAATTTAAGAGCCAGCCTATTTGTGTGGAGGTGTCCATGCGGTGCTATTTTGGGAGTAAAGCTCAGGTGTCAGGCTGCAGAGCACTTACCAAAACAATCATTCCACCATGATGTCATGCAATACAATGGCCCAGACTGACTCCAAAAGGACAGACTGGGAAGCAAAAGTCATTCCAAAGAAGAGTTCCAAAGATAGAAAAGTTTAGAAGGGAAAATGCAGCAGTCTGACACTGCAGCTGAGACACCCTTGGTATTTGTTATCTAAATAACGCAAGGTCTGTTTCCAAAATGAGGCTTGGTGCCATACAACACAAAGAATGCGATGTTACAAATAATTGATTATGTGACTATATTCAGTGCGTTTCGAAAGTCTTAAACAAATTGAAATTTTTTATAATAATAAATAACAGAATTTTTACAAAGTACTTGATTAGCATAACAATTTGAGTTGAAAGTGCTATTATAAATGCACATGAATCTCACAATTTCTTCACTCCTTGTACTAGTCCCTCGTTTTTTTTTTTACCTAAAATAGCGCAGTATCAAATATTTCTTCTTTTTACAACACGTACTACTGTTAAAAGGTTTGGGGGTGGGGGGGTATGTTTTTGAACAAAATCTCTTATATTCACCGCAGCTGAATTACTTGATCAAAAACACAGCAAAACAGCAATATTGTGAAATATTATAACAGTATAAAATTTGAATATTATTACAATGTTCTATTATATTTTACAATTTAATTTATTCAAGACATATTTCTTATTATCAATGCTGAAACCAGTTGTGCTTCTTAATATTTTTGTGCTAAATATTTTTTCAAAAAATTTAAAACGGACCCCAAACTTTTCAATGGTAGTGTAATTTATTTATTTATTATTTTTATTTGAAAGAATCCTGAAATTTTGAAATGGTTCAGGTTTACATTAGTGGAACCCATATGAAATAACATAACACAAAACTTCTGTAAAAATGTGTTAAAAGTACACAAGATTTCCTTAAAGGGGTTCATTTTTCCTTTCTCTTTGGAGCGTTACAAGCTCTTGGTGCATAAAGAAGATCTGTAAAGTTGCAAAGACTAAAGTCTCAAATCCAAATAGATATTATTTATAAAAGTTAAGAGTCACCACGCCTACCTAAAACGGCTCGTTCTAACACGCCCCCACATGTCTACGTCACGATGTGGAATGATTTGCATAACGCCACCCAAATGTTCACGCAAAAGCAGGCAGCGTAACTTTTATTCTCGCTGTAGTATTTTTGTTGCCGCCACCGC